GTACTGATGTATTTTAATGTATTTTAATATGACTGCAGGAGCTTGATGGTGATTAACACCCTGGATAGGAGGTAACATCATGTCTTTTAGGCATATTTCTATAATGGGGAGTGATTTAGAGAGATGTAAGTGCTGATTCCATCACATGGTTTGTCACTGAGTATCAGTGTTACTTCCAACAGCTCTATTTATTTCTGAGGCCCTACTATACTCAGTAGGTAAAATTAACACTGAACTAAAACTTGCAAGAATTACTATAATTTCACCAAAGGTTCAACAACACAAAGAGCTTGCATGTTCTGGTCTTGTGTTGGTGAGAATTTGCCCTTAGTAGGGATTTTAAAGGGCCTACTGTTTGTTCACAGTGATGCAGGAATCTGGGGCTCAGAAAGACAGATTCTTCTTGGCTCTTGTACAGGGTAACAGATAAGAAATGAGAGCAGGTTCTTCTTATGCGACCTTCTAGGGCTCACAGAACTACATTTGGCATCTTTATGAAATTGCAGGACATCTTCTTTGACATCTAGTGATTTTCCTGTCCTTTCCATTTTCTATCATCTTCCACTCGTGCATAATTTCTCTAGTGCTTACGCCAAAGCTGTTGTGTCTTTGGAAAAAATGGAGTTTGGCCATATTTGAAGAAAGACAGTGGAGTGAATTGGTGTTTATATTCTCTACCCAGAGGGTCTTGCAGTGAGAGATGATCCAGCTCTTGCTAGTTTTCTCCACTGTTATCCATAGCATCATTATGCACAGAAGTTATCATTGCCAAATTTGTAAAATACCTGAGACACAACAAGGGCAGTGGTGGCAGGGAGTCTTGCAATGGGTGACCTTGAGTCATTGCTTCTGCACATCCTCAAGTTCTGCACACACTGTCATTATAATAATCACTCGACAAACATTGCCATGGCTGGCCTGCAATTAAGATACCATCTTCAAACTCAACCTCTTCAAGCACCTCACAGATAAATAGTACAGACATCATTTTATTAAATTTTCAATGCCAGAAATGGAATTTCAAATGCTGGAGTCTTTCCTGGAGAACACTTACAGCTGCACCATGTTGTCTGTACTGCACAGCAAGGTGTAGCTTGGACTACCAAGCTAGGCTTTGCTTCTAATCCAGCTGGCAACTAATACTTTTGCATACGCCAGCAGCTTGGTCTAGATTGATCAAGAAACTGCTTGCCAGAAATTTGGGATAGCTAAAATTAGTTTTTTCACTTGCTTCAAATGTAAACTTACTGATAAAAGAGCAAGTTTGCAGCCTTGTTTTAAATTATGAGTATAATCTTCATTTTAACTAGTCCATCATTATCGCTGCCCTAAGAATTAATGGAGGAGAGGTTAAGTTACTAACAGTTGAGTGAATATTGAGTGCTATTGAGCCACCCATAGCATGTGATATTGTGGATTGTAGTTAGGAGAGGAATTTTCAGTGCTAGGCATGCCAACGGGATTAATATGACTTCAGGAGGTATCTTAAGGATACAGAATAGGATCTGCTGTAGCCCTTCTTATTTTTCCCAAATCATTTTAATTGTCTTCCATGAGGTTGCACATCAGTAAAAAAATCTCTATACTCCAAATACAGGTAGGAATTGATTTTCAGGGAATCTTCCCCAGACCTGGGATTTGTTGTTGCGTAGGTACATGGCTATAGAGCAGCCACAGCTCTCCATGGGCTCCTTCCATTTCACTGTGATCAGTGATAAATATATGACAGCAAAGCTCTCTTTCCTGCCCATGCCTGGGGGCAGTCCAAACTTCACCTTGACACAAATCAATACTTTTTCTTCCAGCCAGAGGTATTACAATTGTAGGAACACACAAATGAGTTGCCAAGGGAAGCAATTTACTGCTGGCCAGTTCCTCCAGAGCAATTGTCCATTTGCAGGCTCCTGAGGTGGAGCTGGCCAACTTCTGCAGGGAAATAATGACTCAAGGAGAAGTGTTAGCGGACAGTGCAGGTCAGACAACTGGGAGTCACAGATCCCATCCTTGTGCCTCATTTCTTTGAAGGACAGAGTATTAATGAAGTGCTGACCCAAAACACTAAAGGAAGCTGAAAAGAGAGGTAAAATGAGTTTTCACTCAGCATGAAATTAAGATGTCAAGAGCAGAATTAATCAAGATACCAAAGAAAGTGAGGAGAAGAAATTTTGTAATCATTTATACATCAACATTAGAAGCCTGCATAATAAACAAGAAGAATTTGAATTGCTCGTTTAGAAACATATTTTGACCTAATTGGTATTACTGAAACACTGAAACCTGCTGGGAAGATTTGATTGATTGGAATATTAAAATTAATGGCTATAACCTATTTAGGAACAATCAAATATGTAGAAGAAAGGAGAAGGGAGAAGCAATCTGTCAAGAGGTGCATTGCCAATCTGGAGACACTCATTCACAACAGAGGAACTATTGCCCTCAAATATTAATGGATGAACTTATTTTAACAGCACACAAGTTGGGTACAGAATGTGTCTGCTACCTATTCAGGCTGAAAAGACAGTTATTATATATTCTGTGTTGATGGGAAAAGTTGCATTTTCTTGAAGGACTTCAATCTAAATTATACACAGTGTTTCATGCTGCTGGTTCATCATGCAGCTAATAATGAAAGAAGCTTCTGAAAATTACAGATGACCATTGCCTAATTGGAAATGTTGTATCAAGATGCATTCATCTGCACTACACTTCATCCTGACAGGTGTAAATTAACAGCACCTGAGGTGCAGGTAATTGTGATTTGCATGTATTTATTTTTTTTATATTATTTATTTGCATGCATATGCAAACAGGATAAAGTACAGATAAGTAACTCTATGTGTACTAGGATTTTCATGTTTTAATCAGGAAAAGAGTACCACACTTTTTCTAAAACAAGCAAAAAATATTGAAGATAGAGAAAGCAATTTTAGCAGGGAGGGAGAGAAGTTCACACTGAATAGCTTGTAGAAACAATTACCTAGTAGTTGTGGATTACTGTTTATGAACACTGAAATGCTAATAGAGCAGCAAAAGTGCTCTGTAAGGCATTCTGGTTGTATTTCAAGTGAAGTCAGATAGTTTATATTGGAAATGATGAAATATTTTCAATCCTAGCAGAACAGCGGAAGGTTACTAAGCACAAAATGTCAAAGGCAGATGTTTTGTAATCTGCAGATCTGTCTGGTTTGCACCTAAAAGCTTCAAAAATGACTGATAAAGAATTTTGTGGGCTACTCATATCTTTATATTTATTTTTTGTCATTAGAACAATGAGAAGTAACGTACAAATATTTTGAGAAAGGATAAATATGATGATCTGGAGAGCTGTAGCCTCTCGTATTGGCACCTGTCAGAAGCAAATCAATAGAATAGAAAGTGGAAGAATCAACTGAAAATAGAATTAAGGGGGGGAAGTGGGGGCACATTTTTTTTTATGACAGTCATCATCGGTTTCTGGTACATAAAATCTATCCATCTGCTTATTTTTTCAAAAAAGAAGTTTGTATAAAGTAGTGGTTTTGAGATGTACTACTACAATCAAAGGCAACATCTCACAAAAGTCTAAGTAAATAGAGGGCACAAAATCCAGGCAGTGCACATCTAGGTTAGGAAATTATTAAATGTTAAAGAATCCTTATAAAATTATTGTTTTTCTGTGGTCTCTTGGCCTTGAAATGGACTGTGTGCAAATCAGAACTGATCAGGCTAATGATATGCCCAAGCAGGCAAGGTTTTATTGCCCTAGAGTGAGTCCAGGATCTTGATCATCTTTCTTGGATGCCAGCCTCTCTCTTTGCAACAGACTGTCGTCTCTGAAGAGAACTCACTGAGGAATAAAATGAGTAATAAAATGAATGTTAATAGTAATGGTCAATACAGAAGAACAGTCAAAAAGTAGCATGCTAGGCATATGATAAAATTTAAAAACTGAACACAAATAAGTAACTGTAAAATAAAAGAAAACTAGTTCTATTGCAATTTAGTAAGTGTGGTCATAGAATTCCTACAGTGGTGTAGTTTTGTAATAAATTTTGTGTATGTAGTCATCTTTAAAAAACAAGCGCCATGCTTTAGACACACGTGAAGTCAAGAGAGACTAACCACATGCATATAGCCACAGCCCACAGTAGAGGGAAAGATTCCTTTCAGGTGAGATTGAAGAAGATTAGGAACGACTGTTGTGGATTTCTTTTTTCTATTGAAATATAAAGAATATAGCAAGTTTTTAATTGTTGGTGGTCAGTTGATTTCTCCTTGCTACAGCATATGAAACTATGAGAAAGGAATCACTTTGTTTAGACCTCTTTTCAACAGCCTTGTGCAGTCAGCCTTACACAAGAGTATATTAAAGTTCTTGACTCCCTCTGCAGATTTCTGTTTCCTTTTCTTCTTTTCAAGCTCTCCATTACTGCACTGTTAAAATAAAGAATATTAAGAAAATATTGTATTGAAACAATTCCCATGTAGTTGTATTTCTTTTACTCAACTAAGAGTTTTGATGTCTTTGTCAACAGTAAGATCTGTGCATTTGTATTTTAGAATATTTGGGGTATTAATTTTACTTTTCAGGGACATAGCATTCATCCCATTTTCTTGTTAAGATTACTTTCTTCTTTTAGTCTTGTACCAATCTAGAAAATATACCACAGCATGTATCAGAGATGAGTACAGTCTAAGACTGTCATCAGAAATAAAAAGGGGAAAAAAAGTGAGAAGTAATGTACTTACATTACATGCATGTCTGGTGAAGTGAGAATAAATGCAGTGAAATAAACAATGAAGGAAGAGACAATCAATGAAGCAGTTGTGTTTTTTGGGATGCTTGTCATTGTTACTGTTCTACCAACCTCCAATTGCTGGATTTTGAAAGAGGGAGCTCTCTAGTATAAGTGTATGATAACTGTTGACAAAATAGTTGAAGGTAAATGAATTTAGGCAGGTAAAAACAGAGCTTAATATAGAAGTCATGCTTTCTGCTAACAGTACCTTGTTTTGTTTAGAGTATGAAGGATCTGGGACAGAAGTTCAGAGAAAACACTCAAAATGTGGAGTTTGCAAATATAGGGCTGAGTGTGATGAAGATGCAGAAAATGTTGGGTAAGTTACAAGTTTTCCTTAACAATGTGAATGAACAAAAGAAAAAGTATGTGATTATCTTGACTGCGCTTGTTCCTTTAATTGAAGTTTTAATGCTGTCTGATAATAATGTGTTTGATATGTGGTAGTGAAGAAAAAATTTTTTTCAGCTGCAAGATATAGAAAGAGAGAAAACAATGCAAAGGCATATTGGAGAATCTTTGTCAAAAATACAAAACAGATACTGTCATTCATCTCAGACTATTTTCTGTATGTTCTGCTTTTCTGTACAGAATTACTGTGGGAAGCATACTTTTCTTTTATCTTCTAGTTGGGATATATTTCACATATAATGTCTCATAAGTTCACAAGATTTTATTCTGAGCTATCAGCATTAAGGAAATCTCAGGATGTAAGGCAGTTTAGCACTAATATTCAAGATGTATGCTACAACTTGATCTTGAATATACAAGTGAAAACAAAATGGCAATAGTACACATGAGTAGTGGTCCAATACTTCAGGTTTCCTAAAATGTCATACCACCGAAGTAGGCTTGCTCTTTTATGGGGAGACGAATGAACTGTAGCCGTATTTCATAATAATTATAATTTTCTGCAATATTGCCTTGGGCTGCTTCATTTATGACTGTCAAGATGGGTATAGATTTGTTTGTTACATGCGTTGGGATGTGCTTCTGGCTTTGGAAAATCAATTCTCGAGCATTCAATTTCAGTAAAAGATTGCCTATTCAGTCTATACAGGTAGAGTTTGCATTTCTGTGACTTCATAGTATCCATAAGAGAAGATAAAGTTGAAGAAAGTGGAAGATTTTTCTCCAGTGTTCCGCTTATATATATGAAGCCAAGCTTCCCCTTCTTGATAAAAGTAGTGTTTTTTTGTGTTTTTTTTTTTTCTTTAAGATTTCATTAGTGCTCCTTGAAAAAATATGTGAAGATATTCAAATAGAAAATAATAAAAAGTTAGGAAATATGAGGCTTGCTTACAACCCATCAGATCTGTATTTTTTTCAATTTTGTCAGCTTTCCAACCGAAATGACTTCATTTTTTGCCCGTTAGCTTTGACCAGTATATCTTTTAGTGATATTCACTGTCAGTTTGGATTCAGACTAAGTAGGGCCCTGCTTAGGGACCTTAGATTACCTACGCAAGGTTCATTTTGACATGTCACACAGAATGTCACAGGCTTACTTCAGTAGAAGTTAGGAGTTTGGTGCCCTTTATTCGTAAAATCAAAGCAGTTATTTACTGACAGAAGATGGGATTGAAATTTGTTTGGGAAACTCTTAATACAACCTCCTTTCAGAATGCTTTAAGGATCCGTGTTTTTAACCCCTTGAAACTTTATCATCAGATATAAAATTATTGGCAATACAAACACCTTTAATCAGATTTGTATAAGCATCACTCAGTTCATACTTTTATTTGACTTTCTTAGTATCCTAGAACAGTTTGGGTTGGAAGGGGCCTTACTACATAATACAGTTCCAACCCTTTACCAAGGGCAGAGATACCTCCTACTTGCCCAAAGCCCCATCCAGCCTGGCTTTGAGCAATTCCAGGGAGGGGACATCCATAGAATCATAGAATAATTTTATGCTGTATTACTACCATTATCACTCCCAATTCTAGCAAACCATGCAAGAACTCCAATTTAATAAAAATACACTATCTTGATTTTTTGCTTTTTAAACTATGAGAATTACCACTGCAACTTTTTGGGCATAACAGGGTGATATCTATTGAATCATAAACAAAAATTTCCTTCAGTTCTGTTCAGATAGACTACCTAGGCCTGGGTAACCCTTGCTTGGACTTCATGGCATTAAAACACTTAAAACGATTGGTGTGATTAGAAAAGGCATTTTAGGAAGATTCTTTTTCAAGATAATAACTGGATGAGTTAACTGAACTGTCTTACTGTTCAGTAGATAATCTCAAGCCATATTCATGAGATGCAATCTAATACTTATGGTAAAAATAAAATTTTGCATTTTTGCATCCTTTTTCCAAATGCCTCAGTCAGAGACATTGCAAACACCAGTTCCTTTCTGTTCTGAGTGCTCCTGAGATGTGAAATGACATCTGCACTACGATTTCATGAATAAACTAAGTTATGGATAAAATGATTAGCCTGCGGACAGAGAGTAAATTAGTGGAAGGGGAGACATCTATGCCACAAAGTGTTGAGAGGTTTGAGATAAATGAGCTAGCACTAATGAGAAATCCCCAGTCCTGCCAACAAGGCAGCCTCAGCAGCCTGGAGTGCAGCACAGGCAGATTTTCTCCTGGTGACAGAATGATTCAGCTAGAGACAGTTTTATTTCACATGGGCTGTGGTTTGTCTTTTGGACCTCAAAAGATGTGGTAGTCCTATGCAAAAAGTGTTTACATCATTAAGTGGAAACTACAGGGTAATTTCTACAGTGAAACAGGAACAGTACTGTGATAGCAACTACTTGGCATTTTCTGATAGTTATAGTTGGACTTGCTGATGTCCAAAAGCAAGTTCTTTCTTCTTGGAGTTGCACAGTGACAACATAAAGGTGAAAGATGTGTCAGAGCATGGGAAATTCCAATTTGATATATAATGGAAAACATTTCTCCCTTAGGGTAGTCAGACTCCAGAAGAAGATGTCTGATGAGGCTGTGGAGTTGAGACCAGTGAATGTGATCAGAACCTGATAAGACACGGACATGGACACCCTGGTCCAGCTTTACTAGCTTTGAGCAGAATTTTGGAACAGCTGAGCTCTGCACATACTTTCAAGCCAAAATTATTATGTGATTCATAGAATCATAGAATGGTTTGGGTTGAGAGGGACCTTCAAAATCATTTAGTTCCAACCCCCTGCTATAGGCAGGGACACCTCCCTCTAGACCAGGTTGCTCAGAGCCCCATCCAGCCTGGCCTTGAATGCTTCCAGGGAGGGGGCATCCACAGCCTCACTGGGCAACCTGTTCCAGTGTCTCACCAATCTCACAGTAAAGAATTTCTTCCTAACATCTAGTCTAAATCTATTATCTTCCAGTTTAAAGCCATTTCTCCTTGTCCTGTCACTACATGCTCGTATAAAAAGTCCCTGCCCAGCTTTCTTTAAGGCCCCTTCAGCTACTGGAAGGCCACTACAAGGTCTCCTTAGAGCCTTCTGTTCTCCAGTCTGAAGAGCTTCAGCTCCCTCATCCTGTCCTTGTAGGGGAGGTGCTCTAGCCCTCTGATTCTGGCTAGTTATCAAATCCCAGTGCTTTCTAAAAACAAATTGAAACAAATGCAGTTGTATGCAGCTGAGATGCACTCTATGTTACCATGGAGTTAGTGATTTTATTTTTAGGTGCTCCTAAAACCATCCTTCCTCTTACAGTTACAAGTTTTTAGTTTTCAGGCTAAGGATTGAAGTAAGATAGCTGCCTGATCGAAATTGCAATATATGCCTCTATTATACAAGATCATACATAGTCTGAAAAATGAAAGCTTTGCACAGCATTTGTGATTTGTATCTTCATTTTTTTTAATTTCTCATAAATATTATCTATACCAGAAGTGGTTACAATGCATGGTAAATTGAATGCAAAAATATGAACAACTTTATTATTTGCATTGCCTTTTCAAAAACTGTGGATGTTAATTTTAAGTGGACTGACTAACAGAAAGAAGTGAAGTCTGAGCAGATGGTTGTCATAAACAGCATGCCATACTTAGAAAATTAATGTTCAAGTGTATGCAGATTAGTATATTATATAAGATTTCCTTATATAAATGTGAAAAGGAATCAATTTGAGGAAACATCACAGGAATATAGTTTTTTTTTTCTTTCTCATACATCTTATAAGTATTTCAAATAATTTTGACTTTATGGACAGACTTTTAAAAACCATTAACAATCACTAGTGAATGCACTAGTCTTAAGATACATAAAGACTTACAATGCTTTATTTGTTCTGTACCTTTCTGTAGGTAGCTACAGCCTGCAGACAACAGACTTCACATAGATTAGATACGATTTTTCCCCCTTTACCAACAAAACTGAATCATTCATTGCATTCTTCGTGGAGAAGCCATTGTCTGAGACTGGTCTTTCTGTACATCATTTTCTGTCCTGTCCCTCACAATGTCTCTCTGGCCAGAAGTTTGCTCTGTTAAGCAGCATAATGGTACAAAACTTGTAGTAAGGGAATGGAAAAGGACACGTGAGTTGGTAAATTTTAACTTTTGCGGAAGAAACTGGCCAGAAGCCTAAAGATGTAAGCAGCATGGGGGTGGTGTGTGTTTTCTGCCTGAATTTGGAACTGGAAATGACTTCCCGTTGAGAAGTGGGGCTGGAGATGGCAACACACAGCTTGGGGCCACCAAGAGTAGTGCTGATGTGGTGGAAGCAAGTGAGCTAACCCTGTAGGGAAGCAATAGAAACATATAGTTTTCTATTGGCAATTTCATCTTGGCGCACACTGGGCTTTTCAGCTCTACTGGTCATGTTACAGATCACCCTAAAAAACAAACACAAATAAAGGAAATCAACCTAAGCAAGGGATTTATGATTTTTATATGGGATTACATACAATTCTCAGTTGTGTTGTGAATTATGTGCAATTGTCCTCTGGTAAATCCTGATATGGAAGGAATTGTATAATGATCTCTTCGTTATACTAACTAATAAGAAATTGAATAGGTTCTAGTGGATAATAATCCAGGCTTGTTTTTCTTTAATGTGAGTTTTAAAGAGCTTTGCAGCAATGCATGCTAGGTCTTTGAAGGTTTATATTATTTGAGGATGGAGGAAGAGTTAGGCCACTCTTGTGAGAACAGGCATCATTCACTATGTGCTGCTAGAGGCTCACTCTGATTACGGACTTAATTTCTAAAGTGATCAGAGAAAGCCATAAAATTAAAGTAGGAAGTGAAGGGGTGGCTGGAAAGTAGCTGAGGCTTATGGTATTTAAAGGGTGTGCTACTTTGCTGGCAGAAGTAAAGGCCGAGAGGGTGTTCAAGCAGGACATAAAGAAG